GCCTGTGGGCCAAAGTTAGGTGCTCCAACGTTACAGAAGTTGTCCAGATAATCAAATGTCCCTGTTGCTAGGTAACATTTCATTCTTCTGTGTTCTTGGATGGAGTTTGTATTAGTTTGTGTTTCTGTTCCTGTGAGGAGACACCATGACCACAGCAACTCTTCTAAAGACAACATTCAATTGAGGTGTCTTGCTTAGTTTCAGAGCTTCAGTCAATGGTCGTCAGGACAGGGAGCATGGTGGTGGGCGGGGAGATGTGGTGCTGGAGCTGAGAGTCCTTCATCTTGACTCAGAGGCCAGAGGAAGTCGACTGACTGCCACACTGAGTGAAGCTCGAGAAAAGAACCTGCAAGCCGCCCCACAGTGACACGCACTCCAACAGAAGGTGGTGTTGGTTTTATTATTATGCGGTGCTGTTTACCATGAGAGAAAAGCTACGAGGCACAACAAACCCCACTATGAGGGTTTATTAGAAGGGAGGGACAGGAAAGGGTGTACTCAGGCCTGTTTGGGAGACCTGTGCGGAGAGAAAGGAAGAAGAAGAAGGGGAAGAAGAAAAGGAACGAGTCTGTAACCTGCTTTTCATGGACTCCCCTGCACATGCACTTAGGGCTCCCATAGTAGGCGACACATGGGCATTGATTTCATGGTCACACTGAGTGCAAATTACGTGACCACACAGCTCACAGATTATGTAGGATGTAAGGCCCCTTGCTTGGCTACTGAACAGTATATGTGTGGTCATGTAACAACAGGTGTGGCCCAGGTTAAAGGTGTGCCATGCAGCCTTCTCCAACAAGACCATGCTTCCTCCACCAAGGCCACACATCCTAATAGTACAACTCCCTATGAGCTTATAGGGGCAAAATACAATCAAACTACCACATTCCACTTTCTGGCCCCCATAAACCTTTAACAGTATCATAATGTAAAATGCATTTAGTCTAATTTCCAAAGTTCCATAGTCTATCAAAGTCTCAACAATGTTTAAAAGTCCAAAGCCTCTTCTGAGATTCATGTAATCTCTTAAGTATAACCCCTATAAAGCCAAAGCAAAAAGCAGGTCACAGACTTCCAATGTATAATGGCATAGAATATACATTACCATTCCAAAACGTAGGGAAGGGAGCATAGTGAGGAAACACTGCACCAAAGCCATGTGGCAGAATGTAGATGAACATAAATGGGTTAATTTAAGTTATAAGAGTTAGCTAGTAACAAGCCTTAGCTATCGGCTGAGCATTTATGATTCATGTTAATCCTTTTTGTAGTTACTGGGGAGTGGGATAATGGGACAGAAAAGTTCTCCTAAATGTATGTGCACACCATTACACACATACACACAAATACATACTCATACACACAATGATTTTTTAAAGGACAATACTCAAGGAGAATCAGATAGGACATGGATGATTTTTGCTGAGATCTAGAGATACTGCTGTTTGTAGATCAAGGAGGCTATGAGATGGGAAGCAGGACTCTGTGGCTTCCACCAATTTTTCTCCTTTTCAGCTCCCCCCGGACCCCCTCCCCGTTCTGGGTTAGTTGTTCTGTGGCCTTAGAGACCTGGAACCATAGGGCTTACTTGGTAGTCAGAGAAAGTCTGTTCTAGATTCCAGGGAGAACAAACATGCCAGAATAAATGACCGACTCCTGTCTCACAAGATCTCTCCCCAAGTGTCCCTAATGATGGTGGGGCTGACTCTTCTGGTTCCCTATCAAGATTCTATGAGTGCAGACAGTGCTGAAGGAATTTTGATATAGTGTGGGGTCTGTGCTACATTGGTTATTTTTAGAGCTTTGATGGTGTCCTTATAGAATGGGCAATAACTGGTTAAAAACACAAGGTTAGTGGACAGAATCTGCTTGTGCAGCCTGTGGGACAGAGAACACAGCTAGACTTGGGATCACAGACCTCAGCTAATATTATGTATGTAGCATGGGGCAAGTTACTTCGAGTTGCCCTTGATGTGGGAGGAAGAAGGAGATGAATTAGTGGGTGGTGTGGTTTCTTCATGATCTGTTTGTGCCAGATCAGGGGTGCTTGAGGCAGATGGGAGTGTGTTTGCCTGATATTTCTGCTCAGGGACATCATTATAGAAGAAGTGAGAAAAAAATCTATCTTCATATCATGGGCAAATGACAGAGAGTTCTGGCAATCTCCATGGAAGATTTTGTTTCTTTCTCTCTATTATTAATTTATTTATTTATTTATTTATTTATTTATTTATTTATTTATTTATTTATTTATTTATTTATTTATTTATTTGTGACAGGGCTTGTTTGTGGCGCCCTGGATGTCATGGAACTCATTCTGTAGACCAGGCTGGCCTTGAACTCACAGAGATCATTCTGACTCTGCTTCCTGAGAACTGGAATTAAAGAAGTGGTCAGTCACAGCCTGGCTTCTTTCTTCTGCCCATCCTTCCTCCCTCCCTCCCTTCTTTCATTCGTTCATTCGTTCGTTCATTCGTTCCTTCCTTCCTTCCTTCCTTCCTTCCATTTTTTTCTTTTTTTGAGACATTGTCTCTGTATAGCCCTGTCTTTCCTGAAACAGTCTGTAGACCAGGCTGGATTCAAGCTCAGAGATTCACCTGCCTCTGCCCCCCTTCTTCTGAAATTGAAGGTGTGCACCACCACCGCCCAGCCAACTTCTTTCTAATGCAGCCCTCTCCTACTTACGTGACATCTCTCTCTGTCTCTGTCTCTCTGTCTCTGTCTCTCTGTCTCTCTGTCTCTCTGTCTCTCTCTCTCTCTCTCTCTCTCTCTCTCTGTATGTGTGTGTGTGTGTTTGTGTGTGTGTGTGTGTACATACCACTGAGTTTAATTAGAATTGCTTGTCCAAACATGGGTAGAACACAGGCAACTTACCTTCTACTACTCCATTGAAGTAGTGAAAAGCCTTGTCTCAACCAAAGCAGACTCACTAGAGGTCCAAACATGTCATCCAGGAGAAGATGCTCACATGGGGTCTCTTCCCACACAAAGTGGGGAGCACATCCATGTTAGATGTGAGTTTGAGCTGTTGGTGTCAGAGCCCAGCCTGATAAGAGCACTGCGTGTTATGGGGTGCATAACTCAGCATGGCTGAGGCTGGAGAGCTGGGAACAACTATTTTCAGGCTGAGCATTTACCTTTGAACCTTTCAGGTTCCTCTGTGGATTCAACCAGGTCTTTCTCATTTTGAAGCTTGTATTTGGATGGTGTGTAATGCTTACACATTGAACAGATGCTTCTGAAGGAACAGAAGGACAGTCGAGTGACCAGGTGTGGAGATCGACCCTAGAAGGATCAACAGTGTATCGAGTTTTTCTCTGTCCCACCACCCAGCTCCCATATAATGACACAGAGACTTCTTTTCATTATGAATGCTTGGCCTATAGCTTAGGCTTGTTTCTAACTCGTTCCTATAACTTAGATTAACCCATTTTGATTAATCTACATCCCGCCACGTGGCTTGAAGCTGTTACCTCTTCTCCTGTATGTCCTGCTTCCTCTGCATCTGGCTGGCAACTCCCCTTCTAATCATTCTCATTGTCCAGAAAATCCTGCCTAGCTATTCGTCATTCGGCTCTTATTAAAGCAATCTGTGTGACACATCTTCAAATTGTACAAAAAGATTATTCTACAATGCAAGGGGCTGATGTGGACTCCTGATTCCTGAGAGGAAAGCAGCCTTCACCAGTTAATTCCCCTGTGGCAGGATATTTCTTTTTGACCACCAACCAGCCCTGAAATCATGACATGGAGATTTATTATTAGATATATGAATGGTTGGCCTTAGCTTAGGCTTATTTCTTGCTAGCTCTTTTTTTTTCTTTTTCTTTTCATAATAGTTTTATTATTGATGAAGACAATTAGCAGGAGTCCAGTGGTTGTCAGTAGATCCTGTATGGCTTTAGTGAAGCAAGTTTGGGAGGCACAGAGGGAGGTGGCTTACATGGGTTCTGGAAGGCCCCTTTCACGCCAATTTACATGTCTGGCTAGCTCTTATGAATTAACCTATTTCTCATCATCTATATTTTGCCTCGGGGCATTTTACCTTCCTTTCTTTCTGTATTCTTACTTTCCTGCTGTCTCTGTCTGGCCAGGAGCTGGCCGCCTGGCTTCTGCTGTGTCCCTCTCTTTCTCCCTCACTCTCTTTGTTCCACTTTCTCTCGAACCTGGATTTCTCCTTCTATTTATTCTCTCTGCCTGCCTGTGCCCATATCCCTCTCCTGCCTAGATATTGACCATTCAGCTTTTAATTAGATCTACCAAGTGCTTTATCTAGGCAGGTAAGGAGAAACAGCAACATATCTTTACATAGTTAAACAAATCCACCATAAACAAATGTAACACATTTTTACATAGTTACAATAATATTCCACAACACTCCTCATTTGGTCTCACTGAGCTGAGTATCCGGACATCAAGGAGCAAGTCTGAGCTACACCTTGGGAACCTGGACAGGTGGCACAGAGACTCAGTCAACTGCTCCATCTGTGTTTGGAACAGGTTTAGTCACTGAGTTGTGTTGAAAACAGGCAGGGTGTTTTCTCTCTGTAAACTACAGACATCCAAAATGACAGTTGCAAACTTTTATGCCACTTGGTGAAGCCACATTTCCCAGATATTTGGTTAAACATCTGTATGGTTGCCCACAGACTTTGTCCTCCAGGAAACTGGGGCCCTAAAAAGAAACATGACTTATCTTGTATTTTCTCCTTCACTGGAGGCCATCAGAGGAAGAAAGGCCTAGGAAGCACTGTAGAATGTTCTGAGTAAGGGAGAACCTGAGTGGGTTCCAGATTCTCAGCTGTCCCTGCTATAAGAGGTGGCTGACCCCACAGTACCCCAGAGTCATGGTACTGCTGACCACAGTCATTTCCTCATAGAAATATTCTTTTCTAGGCTGGGGAGACGGCTCAGTTGGTAAAGAGCTTGCCTTCCTTGTAAGTACAAGCACATGAGTGTATCACCACAGCCCATGGGTTTATTATTTTGTTTTGACGTGTGTGTGAGTGTGTGTGTGTGTGTGTGTGTGTGTGTGTGTGTGTGTGTGTGTGTGTGTTGTAAAGCTGGGGCAGTTTTGTGTGCTGTAATTCCCAGATAGGAGGTAGATTCAGGTAGGTCCCTGGAGTTCCCCACTAGCTAGCCTTGTCTACTTAGCAAAGGTCCAGGGCAATGAGAAATCCTGTCTCAGACAACAGTACAATGACACCTAAATTTGTCCTCCACATACACATATGCACCAACAATGTTTAAAAACACACACACACACATACACACACACACACACACACACACACACACACACACGACACCACACCAGGGAGAGAGATAGTATGTTGTGTCTTTTGGAAGGTGTTTCTATCTTTACTGGGCATCAGAACTCTGGGCCTTCACCAGGCCAACTTCACCTCCCCCAGAGCACCTCTGAGGCCTGTTCACCCAAAGGACTGCACTGAGCATGCCCAGGAGCAGGAGCACCTCCAGAAAGACCAGGAGCTTGAAGTAGATGCTGCTCAGCAGGGACCTGCAGGAAATGAAGGAGACAAAGTAAGCTGTCACCGGGCATAGAGGTCTCAGGCTTCCTCGTGTCCATGTCCTAACCTTCAGTGATCAGATAAGGACCAACCTGGATGCAAGCAGGATGGCCTCCCTCCAGGTCCTTGGCTGGTCAAGCTGCCTGCAGGCTAAGCTCCAGCCTGGGGAAGCTTCTCCTGATTCCCACCTCTCTTCTTGAACCACTCCCTTCTCTATTTGGCTGACTGTGTGAGTCCACAATGATTTCAACTTTGGGTTTGACTCAAGGTCAGAGGGTCAGAGTTGATGTTGCTCTCCAAGGCTGCATAATAGGGTGCAAAGGCATGGTCACCAGTGTCTTATACTTCAAGGCCTAATCACAAGATGCTTTGCCATGGGCCATGAGTTACCAGGTGTTTGGAAGGGTCTACACTTGGCTGTACCTTGTGCTTTGATCTTGAAAGTGGGAGGTCTTTTGCCTCTCCCCTTGCTAGTGTATAAAAAGCCCATTGGAAACAAATTCAAGGCTGCTAGGTATTGACTCAGAGCCCTCCTCAACCTCTCCTGTGTTTCTTTTTTCTTCATCTACTTCTATAATTTCTGTCTAGTGTTTCTCAAATTCCTCACTCCCTCCTTCAAGGGACCCTGTAATAGGTCAGGTAGGAACCCCAACTCTGGTCTCCTGACAGCTGGTCTCCCAGAAGTCCTCCTCATCTAGTCTGCATTCCAGTCAGGCTGCAGGCTTCCCTGTTCCCTGATCTTTCGACCTTGGCTTCTGCTACATTCTTCACCCAGATTGCCCTGCCCAATCTCCTCACTGCCTATGTGGAAGCTGATATACATCTTAGGAGGCTTGGACACACTACATCAAGAAATGGTTGGTGGCTGCTCCTACTCTGTCACATGAATTGATACTCATGTTTTACTTTTTTTTGTTCCTTTATTATACCCCATGGAGCCTGAGGCCCTGAACAGTATTGATCCCCTATTCCCACCTCTCTGTCATCCTCATCCCCTGGCCAAGACTCCATCTCCTTTTTTGACCATCCTTGATTTCTCTTTTGGCCCAACACAAGGCCATCCTGAGCTCATGGAAAGGATCTACAACTGCAGATACTCTGTGAGTCACAGGTTGGCATGAACATGTTCCTGGAAGAGAGAAGAGCTGCCACTTGTCAGACCATGCATCAGGTGTGCTGACATGTTTCCCAGGACTGAGCTCTGTCCATGCTCTACAATCTCTTGAACTCTATACATTTCTGGATCCTCTTACGTTCTGTCTCTCCATAACTAACACTCCATCCACTTACAAAACAAATTAACAAGAACGTTTCCAAAGTACTAGGAGAGAAAGAAAATTTAAAAAGTGATCCTCAAGCTAGCTTACAAGGTGGGAGTGTTTTGAGACATGTTTGTCTACCTTAAGATTTAGTGGATAGAAAGAACACAATAGAGGTCGGAAGGGAGCGGGACTAAATAAGACTTGAGAGACAATTCTCAGGGAGGGCTAGTGAGGCGACCTCTGCCTTTGCTATAGGGAGATGTGGGGACTTGTGTTTTAGCTGTGTCCTTGACCTGGAGACTTGACCCCAACAGGCTGGGAAGGAATTATGCCAAAGCAGCTATAAGGTGCTGGGAATTCCTCTGGACACCTTCAAGAGTGACGAGCATAATACTGGCACAGCACCGCCCTCAGTTTCCCATGTCCTCCTCTCACGGTGGAGACCCCACACTGGCTCCTGGCAGAGTTGCATTGGAACAAGGTTTGTTTATGAAGCTGGAGCAAGAGATGATGGGAGAAGAATCTCTTCTAACTCAGAGGAGACCCAAACATGGCCCTCTGTACTGCCCTCTGGGGGACACATGGGGAGACAACAAAGTCCAGGCTCAGTCTCTTTTGACACTCAGAAAAACATGTTGCCTTCCTGTAGCTGAGGCTTAGAAGGGAAGCCTTGGTATACTAAAAGGTAAAAGGTTGGAAACCCAACCCAAAACTTGAACAGAAAAAAAAACAACCCCAAGGACCCCCCAAAAAAAGCAACGAAGTTAACAAAAAAAAATAAAAAAAGGCCCCGCCAAATTGAAAATCAAAAAAAGGAACCTTTCAAAAATAAAAAAAATGCCCGGGAAAGCCAGGGAAGGAAAAAAACCAAAAATGAAAGGTTTTCATGTATCTTGGGACTCCTGGGCATCTTGTGTTTTATTCAGAGGAGAGGCCACAGGGACAGCCCAGTGATGGAAGAGCTGCCGGGGTCCAGCTCTGCTTACCAGGTGTGGGTGTTGGTTTGAGTCCCTCCATAGTTGCCAGTGTTCTCCATGGTCGACGCTGTGGTTGTCAGGACTGGGGCCATGATTGACATTATTTTAGTTGAAGTTTCTGGAGCTAAAGACACAAACAGCACATGGTTCACTCCTGTGGACAGTCCAGCTCTGGGTATGACCTAATCTTTCCCACTAGTAACTAAGGGATTTGCTCTCCAGTCACCATCCAAACCTTCACGTTAATTCTTTTCTAAAGGAAGATGATGTGGGGAGCAAAGCAGCCCCCCTTTAAAACCCGCTTCCTTCCTGGCTCACTCATTACTGCCTGGTGTGCAAGATGCAGGAAAACTTCAGTTTTGCAGTTTCTCTCTATTTTAAAAAATATTTATTTATATGTCTACGAGTGTTTGCTTGCCCATATCTATGTGCACCATATATATGGCCACCATGTGCCCATGGTTCCATGGAGGCCAGAAGAGGCCATCAGATCCCCTGGAACTGGAGTTGAAGATGGTTGTATGCTGCTATATGGGTGCTGGGATCCAAACCCAGTCCTCAGGAAAAGCAGTCAGTGCTCTCAATCACTGAGCCCTCTCTCCTGCTCCAATTTTCTCTATTGTCTTTACTGTAGTTGTTTAAACAGACACAAATCTGATCCTTATTACTCTATCTTATGCAGAAACAGAGCTTCTGTGGCTTCATCTATTTTATGTAAAAGGGTGGTGTTGGGGGTGTCAGGATGGGAGTTTAGTTCAGTGGTAAGTGCGTGGCTAGCACACCTGAGGGTCTGAGTTCAGTCCCCAGATGTGCACAAGTGAGAATGTGCAAGACTCACATGTGGGGGCGGGAAGACAAGGCCTCCCCAACTCACCTTTATCTCAGTAGAAAACAGGGGCAGAGGAGTCAGCTGTGGTTATCTTTCCCAGTAAGACTTTTACAGTAATGAGTTCAGGCTCCCTGATTCCTGACCCTAGCCAGAAGCTTCTGGAATTTTTTCCTACCTGGGTCAATGTTCACATTAACGTTAAACATGTTATCAGGTCCAAATCTCTCAATCGCACACCAGTAAATTCCAGCATCGCTTATTCTCAGGTCCTCCATGGTCACTGTGACGATGAAGTCTGTCTGGTCATCGTTGATGGACACACGGTCCTTCTTCACCAACTGCTCTGATGCATCGGTTTGAATGAGGATCTCACATGTTCTCTGATCAGCTCCTTGGCACCAGTACTTCTTGAACTTCTTCCAGGATGACTCATAACGGCAATGTACAGTCAAGGAGCCCTGCACCTGACCTCTCAACATGTTTGGCCCTGTGATTGGATCCTGGGCAGTGGAGCAGCCTGGAAAATACAAAACCATGGACCACTGATATCCCACTCCAAGAATGGGACACAATATCCTGTGTTGAAAAGAGTTCACAACTTATCATCAATTAAGAGCAACCCCTTTCTCAAGACAGATCATCGCCATTCTATTGATCAAAGACTCAAGAAAAAATGCTCAGGGCCCAGTTACAGGTCTCAGAAGGTAAATGGTGACAATGAGCAATCATGTTTTCTGTCATCCACACCTCTTCACTCCGCAGTGGACAATAAAATTACATTTCTAACGATCCTTTTGCAACCATCTTTGTGTTACCCTGGAGCAGAGGACGTGTCAGAAGGGATTGTACACAGGATGCAATCGTGAGTTCATTTCAGTACCCATGGCCCTCAAAAGGTCCATCAGAAGACATCACATTCTGTGGCCATGCAGAGGCCTCTTCAGGGAGTCCGGCAGTCTCTAGGAGTTGTGTGTGTGTGTGTGTGTGTGTGTGTGTGTGTGTGTGTGTGTGTGTGTGTGTCTTACATAAATAGGAATCACAAACTTCTCAAAATAAATACCTGCTTTGAAAAAGTAAAGGAAGCCCTTCAGGGTATTAGATTCAACAATAACAACAACAATAACACCAAAGTGTGTTCCTAAT